GTGGCCTTTCTGCTTCAGAACAGGTATCTGGCTCCAGACTGGGCTCCACACACTTTCTACAAACTCCTGTGAGACATTTTGAGATGTAATCCTTTTTTAAGTTTGGGGTGGCTGGTTTATGTCAGTTCTTCCCTCCTGTCCAAACCAGCTGCCCGCCACGCCTTTTTAAGGTCTAATCCTAGAGGCTTTTCAGAGAAGACGTTGAAATGCCTCAAATGTTTTTCTTAAATCTGGAGTGAGAGATCCAGGTTTGTTTGTTTGTTTTTTTCATCCCAATAGCAGAAGCAGTGTCAGCTTGGGAAGTATTATTGCCAGTTCAAAGAGGGGCTAGAGTATTCCAGATGAACAAGCCTCCAAAATCCTTGCCTTCAAATATGTGAGGTGAAACGTGCTAGCACCACCCACATCTAAGAGTTTTCTGCTCCATAATTAACACCAGCAGTATCTGTCCACCTTCAATAATGGAAATTTCCTTCCTGGCTTCATTTTTTATTCCAAACATTGATTTCTTCAACCCCAGTGTCAAAAGACTAAGCCATATTTCTTCAGTCCTACAAAACTTGCTTCAGTCAAACACTTTCAGACTGGGTTCACTCCAAGTCAGACACCAAAAAAGGGATGATTCTCATGTAGCCACCTCAAAGTTAAGACTAACATGCAAGCTATATGCTTGCGAGCAACATCAGGGTGCATCTGAGGTTAACCCCGATCCATTTGAGAGCCCAGGCTCTATTGTCACCTAATAAGGCACCCATATAATTTACATGCTGCTCTAGTTGGGTCATTTTTAATGCCAAAGTTCCAACAAACAAACAAGGTACAATAAGTTGGTGAACAGATATAATGTACAAATAAACCCTCTTTTCCTAATGGGGAGGATCTCTGTTTGGGAGCGGATGACCAGGAGCCTCCTGGTGAGTATTCTGTTAAGTTTTTAGTACAAGGTGTTGTAAAATACTGTCTGAGCTTTAAGGGACTAGGAGGGGGGACACAGAAATTATGCATGTTTTGGGGAGAATTTAAGAAAATCTAATGAACACATGTGGAACATGAGCCATATCTACAAGTTGAGTGTTGACAATCCAGCCATGATGCGCTTTAGTCTTTCTTTGAAACCCCTGATTCCATCTGGTATGAGCGAGAAAAGCATACGCTGAACACATGCAGCCTGAATTACATGTTAAGCAAAGTTAGCTGTGTTGTCGTCATAAAGATAATTTTGTTCCTACTAGTCATTGGTAGAGAGGCAAGGAGCATTTGCCACCATAAAATCTAGAAACCTGTAGTTATAACCAGAGGAGAACTTGTTAGGACACTTCATTTCGTGTCTGGTATGTCTCCAGGAGACTAGTTCCCAAACAGGTATCCTCCCAACTAGCAAAAGAGAACTGGTTTGTTGAATATTTCTGTTCACCAACCCCTTTGACCTCAAACTCTCTGTGCAGCGTGATTATAGAATCCAGAGCACAGAGTCCCTGATAAGCTTCGTCTAGCTGTTCCTTTAGTGACCGGCACTTCTCCAAAAGCAGGGAGACAGTTTTGTCAGTGGCTGGACAAATGAGTTTATACAAATGAAGTCTGATTGTGGGGTTTGTACAGGTCTTAGTAGATCAAGTATTTGAGCTTTTACAGAGCACACAAAGTAATAGAGCATGCAGCCATCTGTATGACTAAGCAGGTTCATGGGTGGAGATGAACCCAGAGCACATCCAGGGCAGTGAAGTTTAATTTAGGTTCCAGGTTGTCAGAGTTACAACATCTGCTACTATTAGGACCAGAGGATTGTAAAACAGGGAACAGGGCTCTAAGATAGGAAAAAGTTGCGTACTACTAATAGTCCAAAAATAGGTAAGGGCATACACATTAAGCAGATACTGTCACCTTTTCTGTGTGCTATGTTTTTGTTTCTGCTGTTGTATAACAAATACTAAATAAAATTCTAGTTTTTAAAAGCCTGCAACTGCATTCCAGATAGCCAAATTCTGTACCTGAGTCCATGGAATACACATCCTTGTGGTTGCCCCTCTTGCTTCCTGCTTCAAGCTTCAGTAACAGGTTCCCATCATGTTTTTCTCCTTTCAACAGGCTCAGTGAGTTGAATGTGAACCTCCCCATCTCTGAGAACCTTTTGTTTTGGAAAGAGGTGGCTGCTGCAGGAAGTGACAGGGTGGGAAGGGAGCTGGCCTGTTGCTCTGATTGCTGGGTTTCTCCTGGGAATCTCAGCTACGCCGCCTTCAAGTCTCTCTTAAAATAAATCCAGATCTCCAAACCCCTAATGTTGAGCCAGCAGCTGTAGAAGATAGCCGACTAAAACCGCCGCCGCCAGACCCTATCCTGCCTGACACACACCTCAGTTTTCAGGGTAACACTTCCTCTTTTCTTTCTGTTTCGTTTTGAAAAATAAACTTTACAAGGAAAAGTCACTCTGCTTTTTAGTTAGAGTTGGAACATTCCTCGGACAAAGGTGTTGGTGTTTCAGACAAACCCTGCCCTGGCCCTCCATTTCTCCACTGCTGGGACTGATCTGTCGTGTTTTTTGTCTGTTCAAGAGGAGATTGAAACAAGAAATTGTATGCTCAATTTTTACTTTTTACCGCTCGTTTTTAACTTCACAAATAAATGATAACAAAACATCCCCCCGTGTCTGCTGGGTGGTGTCTGTTTTTCTCTCTCTGTCCATAGGGTTTTTTGAAGCTGATGTTTGTTCACAATATAGCTGTTGTAAAAGCCTGATAATGGTCATGAATTAAGAGCTTCCTGTGTTTTTATAGTTTGAGCAGGCATTTGTGCATTTTTGTTGAATAAAATGCTTTTTTGTTTTAAAGTCTCTGATGCAACCGTGTGTGTTTCAAAAGGTAGGGCCCCAGAGAGCCGTTCTAGCTTCGCCACAAGAGCCCTGGGAATGAGAAGCAGGTTCCGACCTTTGGATGATACTGAGCTGGGGAGCAGGGGAAAGCTGCCTCTCCGGGGAGCTTTTCAGTAGACTAAGCTTTGGTTTGGTTTTGGGGACTCCTGCAAGTTCAGTTCATTTGGTGTATCATCTCTTGACAGTTTGAAAATAACATTAGTCTTCTACAGTGGTACCTCGGGTTACATACGCTTCAGGTTATATACGCTTCAGGTTACAGACTCCGCTAACCCAGAAACAGTGCTTCAGGTTAAGAACTTTGCTTCAGGATAAGAACAGAAATCTTGCTCTGGCAGCACGGCAGCAGCAGGAGGCCCCATTAGCTAAAGTGGTGCTCCAGATTAAGAACATTTTCAGGTTAAGTACGGACCTCCAGAACGAATTAAGTACTTAACCTGAGGTACCACTGTACTTGGATTTACAAATATGGGGGGGGGCGTGCTGCAGTGTTACACAATCTAAATTTCTGGAAGACTGCACCAGCTGCTGGAACCCTTAGCTGCTTCAGTCACCCATAATAGATCATGTCTCATCGTTTTGTGACTTGATGATACTCATCTGCGTTACTTTAAGATTTTCTGCTGGATCTGAATGTCTTGACTGACACTAACACAAAACGACATCTCCTTGAGCTGTTTTGTGACCTGCCAGAAACATGGCTGGAGCATAAATGGTGCAGATGAACTCTGGGAGAGTTCCGGCTCCAGAGGCTGATCCAGTAGATTTGGAGACCCAACTATTATGCTCAGGTCTCCCAGGGTTGAGCCAGTGCAAAACACTTGTCTGTATTTGGATGCAATGGTTCCCTTATTCTTCTGTGTCAGGTTATACAAAGGGGAAATGGGGAGGATTGTGGTAAGTGGCGCTGATGGCTTCTGTACTGCTGAGCTGCTTGCTATTCCTACTCTCCCATACATCCTCACTTGTAGGCTGTGTAAGAGATCCTTTGTTGCTGGAGTAATCACTCAGTGCTAAAAAGCACTACATAGCCTTTTGGATAGCCATGTGTCCGTCCACCCACCCACCCCTTTATAATTCCCTCTTCGCATATATTTCCTTTTACAACTTTCAAAAGGAAATATATGTGGAGAAGGAATCTCTATTAAAGGGGGAGATGGACAGACACATGGCTACATGACAGGAAATACATGAAGCATGCCTGAAACTGAAATAGCTTGCATTTATCTTCCTAGTGTGCGTCAGTGCCAGTTGTAGAACCTCTTGGCTACTTGGTAACTTTACAAGTTTCTAATCCAAAGCTCAGCCTTGCCTACTCAGAAGAAAAGTCATAGAAGGGTTGCTGGAGCATGGTGCAACAGCCTGGTCTCTGTTGATCTTGAAATGCAAAACACTCATTGTATACAGCAGCTAAGAACAGGTGTGAATGGCCCACTGTAGCAGGAAATGAAGGGGAGTAGGTACTTACTGAATAAACTATTGGTATGTGGGTGGCGCTGTGGGTTAAAGCCTCAGCGCCTAGGACTTGCCGATCGAAAGGTCGGCGGTTCGAATCCCCGCCGCGGGGTGCGCTCCCAGGTCCCAGCGCCTGCCAACCTAGCAGTTCGAAAGCACCTCCGGGTGCAAGTAGATAAATAGGGACCGCTTACTAGCGGGAAGGTAAACGGTGTTCCGTGTGCTGCGCTGGCTCGCCAGATGCAGCTTGTCACGCTGGCCACGTGACCCGGAAGTGTCTGCGGACAGCGCTGGCTCCCGGCCTTTAGAGTGAGATGAGCGCACAGCCCTAGAGTCTGGCCTTTATGGATCACATCTTCCATTTACAGTAAGGATGTTTCTGTGCTAGTTACTGCCCTGTGATCAGTTGAAGTAGGTGCTAGCCATGTGGCTTGGGCATTTTTGTGAGCTGCATCCTTTGGCCTACGCTGGGCCCTGCTAGCCAAGGGCTATTAAACACATACATGTTCATTGATTAATGAATGCACCATCATACACACGATTTTCCAAAGGAATTTGCAACTAAGCTGCAAGTCATCAAATGACGTATATGTGTGTGTGAACTAGCTCTGAGAAAATCCTGCAAAGGACACGGTGATGGACCAGCAGCATAAATCTTTATTTTTACGTAGAGATACCTAGCTTTGCACTTTATTTAGTGGTAGCTGCCTTTATCACTTCATCGACTACACTGCAGGATTTGGTAAAAATGGTGTCTGGTGGTTCTTCCCCAAGGATCTGGAAATAAATGGAATGAAGAGCTCTTGGGCACATCTGGAGCCAGCTACTTACAGAGGAGACTTTTCTGTTGCTACCACCGGGTATAGAAAGCCTGAGCACGCCTCTGTTTATAAGGAATTATGCCAAGCACGCAGCAGAAAACAACACTTGCTGCTGACCCACCCCCACGCTGGGGTAGACATGGACAATGAAAGGAAGCCTGCCCAGTTTTAGGAGGGCTTGGAGTAGGTATGGCCATCACTAGACCTTGGTGCAGCTGTTAAAATTTTCCCATGGGATAGTCCCAAAGAAAAGAAAAAGAAGCAAATTGCTGTGGGGGCCAAATGTGTTCTGTGCCCCCACTCATGGGGTGAAAGAACACGCAAACCTGTGTCCCTAACTGTAGCCTCTTTGCTCAGTTTAACTTAATGGTTCCTATAGAGGTCTTGTGCAAATCAGGCCACATCTACTGGAACAGCTAACAGGGGAGACAAAAATCTTCCTTGACCCCAGCTGCCCTAGAGCAAGACGTTTACTTTCTGCTTAGATTAGGTTTGGCTTAATTCACATCTGATAGAATTGCAGAAAAAAGCAAAGAAAGCTTTGTTGACCTATAAGAAGAGATGCAAAAATCCAGTTGAGTAATATATTGAGGTGCATCTTCAAACCCATCAATATCAAATTGAGCCTAATCCGATTGAACTGAAGTTTTGCAGGAGTTAACATATTTAACACCAACGGAGTAGCCACAAAGTTTATATTCCATCGAGCCAACTTTTTTTTCTCCTACCCCCTGCATTGCTTAACAACGAGCCTAATGGAAGAATTTTGGAGAGCTCAAAAGCATTCTCACTATTTTGTAAGAGTTTCTTTGGTAAAGACGTCCAACTAGATTTTATACCTTGCCTTAGTCTTTCCTTTTGTCATCAGCATGGATGGGGCTTTGCTCCCTTCTAGAAGGGGGGTGTCTCCTTGTCATTCTTCAGCTGCCCTTGGGCATCTAAGGGGAGTGGGGCAACTCGCCCTGGCAGCTCCCATCAGATGGAGCTGCTCCTGGAAAGCAGCTTTCAGTGGCTTCTTTAGAGCAAGAAGCAGACCTGGTGCAGTACCTAACCAGCTCTTCTTCTTGGCAGTTCTGATGAGTGTCCAAGATAAACTGCGCTTTGACACTTAACATTCAAAATCAGGAGAAACTGCTAGTGGCAAACTGGAAGAAGTTAGGGGAAATCATTTTGCGTAGTCAAGGATGAACAGGACAGCATCCTTTTAAGTTCTTTGATATCTGCCATCCTGCTTCAAGGAAGGGAATTGTAGCAAATGATCTACTAGAGGGCCCTTGTGCTTATGATCCTATTACTTGGTTGAGGAGTGAGTGCATTTGAGATTTTGCATTCTAGTGCAACTTTTTCACAAGCATTTCTGGAAGACCTCCTCCCTGAAATAAGAAGATTGGGGTCTAATGTGGCTGTTTCCAACCTCCTGCCCTTTTGACTTAATGCTTCCCGCCTCACTGCCTATTGGACGCAACCTTTCAAATGGCCCTGTTAACAAGCAAGAGAGAGTCTTTCTGAAAGGACTGCATTGGCTGCTTGTCCACATCAGAAGCAAATAAGCTGCCCTCTTGCAAAGTTGCCAGGACTTCCAGGCCTGGGTTCTGTGGGAAAGGACAAGGAAGGGGGCCCAGCCAAGTTCTCTTGAGACCTACATGCCGAAGTAGGCTTTTCTGTAGGTAGTGGGTGAAGACGGGCTCACACAGTGTATAGTAAGTGTCAAGCCGGTTCTGGATGATTTTATCATGGTCATCCACCCTCTCGCCCATCTGGCTTCGGATCAGCAGTCGCTGGACCATAGTCTCCGTTGAGCAGTCAAGCACTATCACGATGTTGGGTGCACGCCCCACCTGCAACATGAAACATACAACTCGGCTGTTAATTGTTTTGCATTGGGTGTGCAAAGCTGTTGTGCATAGGAACTGAGGAGCCTAGCCAGAATTCAGGGCAGGCATGGAGGGGAGCAGATTTCTTTATTCATTTCAATTACCGTATTTTTTGCCCCATAGGACGCACTTTTTCCCCTCCAAAAATGAAGGGGAAATGTGTGTGCATCCTATGGGGTGAATGCAGGCTTTCGCTGAAGCCTGGAGAGCGAGGGGGTCGGTGCGCACCAACCCCTCTCACTCTCCAGGCTTCGCGCAGCTCTCCGCAAGGCACGGGAGCCCGGTGCTGGGCTCTCGTGGCTTGCGGAGAGTTGCCTGTTATGGGGGCTGGGGTCGGGGGAAGCTCGGGCTTCCGCCGCCCCAGCCCCGCGCCTGGGGGGGAAATAATTTTTCCCCCTTTATTTCCCCCCCAAAAAACTAGGTGCGCCCTATGGGACGGTGTGTCCTATAGGGCGAAAAATACGGTATATCCCACCTTTATCTCCGTGCAGGACCCAAGGCGGCTCACGGCATGAATTAAAACAGATAACAGTGAAAAACACACAATATAAAATTTTAAAACATTAAGTAAAAACAGTGCTGAAAACATTTAAAAGCACAACAGCAAAGAGAAAATATGGCCCAGCCACTCCCAGAAGACACACACTGCCACAACAACCAGCTAGTGGCCAGAAGCCTGTCTGAGCAAAAGCCTGCTGGCGAAAGGAATGCAAAGAAGGAGCTAGCCTAGAAAGGGAGTTCCACGGTGCAGCCACCATTGAAGTCCATATTGCTTCTACAAGCCAGTCAGATGCTTGTAAAAGCCCAAAAGCAGAGTATATGAAGGCCACAGCTCTGCCTGCTGTTCTCCCCCAGCAACTGATCTTCAGAGGTATACTGCCTCTATGTGAAATTCCATTTAGACATCATTTACTAGTCACTGATAGGCCCCAACCATGAATTCATCTAATCTTCTAAGCCAGGGGTCAGCAAGGCTTACTGGGCATGGGCTGGATCACTCCCACGGAGATCCTCCATGGGCAGGGCCGGCCTGGTGCAGCACAATGCCAGAAATCATGTCCGCGGCACCGGAAATCGCTTCTGCACATGCCCAGATGCCGGAAATCATGCCTGCGCAGAAGCGATTTCCGGTGCCGCGGACATGCACAGATGCGATTTCCAGCGTCTGGCCGTGCGCAGAAGTGATTTCCGGATCTATGGAAAAGAGTCCTGTGCCGCGTTGCACTGGTTTAGCGCAGCGCGGGGGGCTTGCCGAGTGGGCGGCTTGGTTCTGGGGCGGCTCATGGGCCTTAGGTTGCCGACCTCTGTTCTAAGCTCATGGAAGCCAATAGGATTTAGGGAACAAGGTTATGGATTCATTGTTTAGGGCAAAATGATAAAAGGGGGGGGTCACAGTATTGGGCAGCACAGCAATAGGAGCTGAGTGGGGGAGGACGCAAGCAGGTGCTTTCTCTGAGCATGATTTCATACGAAGTGCCACATGAAACCTCTGGAGGCAACCTTTTAAGGCACAGTACAGCATTTGGTCTGAGATCCAGCTGTAAGGAGTTAGCTGCTGGTCTGGCTGACACCCCCACTCAATCTGTACTAAACATTTGATGTAAAATAGGTAAACTTCTGTAGGCAAAACACAGTTATGAATGTGGTGTTCTACGTGACAACATGCTGGTCTGGTAAGGTTAGAACTTCTCAGCTCAGAATGATCTGGAGGTTCAGTTCCTTCTCTGAGCTTGCAGTGACAGGGATAGAATGCCTCTCACAAACAGTAGTATTGTCCAAATTATAAAGACCTGTGAGAGCTGAAAAACAAAGATAAAGCCCACGCAAAAAGGACCAGACTCTTCGAGCTATACAGTCAAACCTCACTTCCCAAACACCTCCATTGTTGAACGTTTTGGCTCCCGAACACCGAAAACCCAGAAGTAAGTGTTCCGGTTTTCAAACGTTTTTCAGAAGCCGAACATCCAACATGGCTTCCGCTTGAGTGCCACAAGCTCTTGCAGCCAATCGGAAGCCGTGCCGTGGTTGCCGAACGTTTCAGAAGCCGAATGGTTTGACTGTACTTGATTTTCACAGCATCACCTGACTAGAGATTTGCATTGTTGCTTTCCAACCAGCTTTTAATTTAGCATATAACCCAACAAAGCAGTTACAAGCACAGGATTATTGCATCTCCGCTATCTATACTGAGCTGTTTCCCCCTAGCCCTCTCTGAGTTTGAAACAGAATCCAAAGATCTGGCACGCAACCATTCAGCCACTGGACTATTGGGAATGTATTCCTTGCCAACCCACAAGTTACCCATTTGATGTTGCACATCTCAACCTGAGAGCCTCTGGAGCATTTCCTTCCTTGGCACAGGTCAAGCCCCTCTTTCCCTTTCACCTCCCACTCAGCGGCCACACTTACCACTTCTTCAAATAGTTTGGCCTGATGGATTTCCCGGGGGAAGCCTTCAACAAAGAATCCTTTGACGTTTTCGGCTTTTAGCATGTTGTCAGTAAGCAGTTCCAAGATGTAGCCCTGGAAAGACAGTCATCTCCATCGTCAAAGAGCTTTATTACACCAGATAAAGGCAACAATAAACCACCCAACTTAGCGCTGTTTCATCCACCTTTCTGATGGCCTCTGAGGGTCTCAATCTCTGGCCATATTTGGTGGTACCCCTGCCCATACGGGCCAGTCTTGACAGGCTCTAGGGTTGTGCGCCCATCTCACTCTATAGGCCGGGAGCCAGCGCTGTCCGCAGACACTTCCGGGTCACGTGGCCAGCGTGACAAGCTGCATCTGGCGAGCCAGCACAGCACACGGAACGCCGTTTACCTTCCCGCTAGTAAGCGGTCCCTATTTATCTACTTGCACCCGGGGGTGCTTTCGAACTGCTAGGTTGGCAGGCGCTGGGACCGAGCAACGGGAGCGCACCCTGCCGCGGGGATTCGAACCGCCGACCTTTCAATCGGCAAGTCCTAGGCGCTGAGGCTTTAACCCACAGCGCCACCCGCGTCCGCTGGCCATATTTAAGTCCTTGCAAAGAGCCTTTTAGGTTTCAGTCCAGAAAGAACTAACCTATGGGAGCAGTTTCCCACTATAATAGAGTAGACCGCATCCCAGCAGGCAGCCTGCTTGTGAAGTACTGTGCAAGCAAACCATTGGCAGTAGCCATAAACATTTAGCCAACACTAACTGGGCAAATTCAGGAAACTGGTCTGAGCTTAGCAAGGCAACCAAGCCCTGGATTCAGTGTGATTTTCACTGTAGCGTTCAGAAAGGGAGAATTAAAATATGTGTGTGAGAGAGAAAGAGAGACCGGCTGCAGTTGTGTTCAGGTGGTGGGGGCTCGCCCCTTGAAAGTACAATACTTGTCACTTCTGTTCCAGTGTGCTCCATAATCAACACTCTTCTGCTCTTGCTATTCAGAAGAACAGCTGAAAGGGTGGCCACGGAACTGATCAAGTGGTGTTCCCATTGTTAAAGGAATGCGGGTGGAACATGGAGGTAATTCAGCATCCTGTCTCACACTCTGGCCAACCAGATGCCCTCAGGAAGACCGCAGGAGAGCAACAGTCTTATTGCCCTTGCTTCAAAGCAGCAAATACTCTCACGCATAATGTCTCTGAAACTACCTATTTCACTTAAGCATCATAGCTCTCCATAATTCTCTCCATGACTTTGTCTAAAGGTACCGTATTTTTTGCTCTATAAGACTCACTTTTTCCCTCCTAAAAAGTAAGGGGAAATGTGTGTGTGTCTTATGGAGTGAATATAGGCTGTGCAGCTATCCCAGAAGCCAGAACAGCAAGAGGGATTGCTGTTTTCACTGCGCAGTGATCCCTCTTGCTGTTCTGGCTTCTGAGATTCAGAATATATTTTTTCTTGTTTTCCTCCTCCCAAAACTTGGTGCGTCTTGTGGTCTGGTGCGTCTTATAGAGCGAAAAATACGGGTAAGTCCAGTTGCGAACTATTCTGGGGTTGCGGCGCTCATCTTGCTTTACTGGCCGAGGGACTGGTCATGTGGTCAGCATGACTAAGCCGCTTCTGGCGAACCAGAGCAGCAGACAGAAACGCCGTTTACCTTCCCGCCGGAGTGGTACCTATTTATCTACTTGCACTTCCAATCAGCAAGCCCTTAAAGCCTTTCGCTCTTAGATGCCTTATAAATGTGTGGCACATATAATATCCCAGGGTGTGGTCTGAAGGGATATAACACCACCCCTGGCTGAAGTTAAGCAGATCAGATCAGTGGCTGGATGAGTGAGCCCTTGGGAACTTCCTTGGGCTCCATGGCACAAGAAAGGCAGGATAAAGATGTAAATAAATATAAGAGCCCCTACTGAATCAGAGCAAGAGACCATCAAGTCTAGCATTAAAAATGTTCATTAAAAAAGAAACCAGAAAGATCATAGCTTTAAATCCTGTTATTCAGTGCTGTTATACTTAATTTTCTTTCATTTAATATTTTTTAAAGTCTAATTCCAGCATCATTCATTGTTTGGAAGATTGCAAAAAAAAAAAAGAAAGAAAGAAAGATTGAAATTAGATCTATTTAAAAATTTGCAACAAATTCCAGCTCAATTTTCCAGCCAATTTCCACCCAAAACACCATGTATTGTATATATGCAAGTTAGCTAAATTCAGCATGTGACGCTTTGCTATGCCCAAGGGGCATGATGAACATTTTAGTTGAAGCACATGCCAAAATGGGAGTTGAAGGTATTTGGACCAGGGTCAGAGGGGAATAAAAGAGCAAACTGGTTCTGGAATATAAATCTAGTGAAATCAGCGGGAGAGGGCAGAACGTTCAGGGTTTGAGTCTGAGACAAATCAGTCAGTCTCCTAGTTGAGAAAGCTATCATTGGCAGGGAAAACTTCCAAAAGGCAGTCTCATACTATCAACTGCTGCTGAGTTGATCCTAGAGAAAGTGAAATACTAATAGATAAGTACTGGTAGGATACATTTCACCGGTCCAAATTCTAGGCATAGGAATCTAATTTATATTCTTTATAAAAATAATCCATCTATATTCAAATGGGAACAAACTCTCATTGATATTAATGTATCACTGCTGCTGAAACTCCCAAATGGTCAGATTTCTGGAAGACACAGCAAAAAGAAGAAACCTTTCACAAAAATGGTATTAGTTCATTAGCAGCATAAACTTATGCATTTCTGCTTGGAAGTAAATTCTATTGAGTCCAATGAGACTTAACTTCCAGGTAAGGCTATGCAGTGGTACCTTGGTTTACAACCATAATCCATTCCGGAGGTCCGTTTGTAAACCCAAACAGGTTGTAACCCAAGGCGCACTTTCGCCAATGGGGCTTCATAAAAAAAATTTATTCGTAATCCCAAAAAAATGGGTTGTAATCTAAAAAAAGGTTGCAAACTGGGACACGCACTTCCTGGTTTGATGTGCTTGTAATCCAAAATGTATGCAAACCAAGGCGTATGCAAACCAAGGTACTGTGGACGCTCGGGTTGCAAATGTGATCCATATGGGAAGCACGTTCGCAACCCGCAGCGTCCGCAACCCACAGTGCTGGTCTGCGCATGTGCCGGTTGTGATTCGGCGCTTCTGCGCATGCGCAAAGTGTGATTTAGCGCTTCTGCACATGCACAAGTGCCAAAACCTGGAAGTAACCCGTTCCGGTACTTCCGGGTTTGGTGCAGTGCGCAACCCAAAATAGCGCAACCCCAAGCGTCTATAACCCGAGGTATGACTGTACCACTGTATAGGATTGCAGCCTTAATAGTAGAAGGCATGCTCACAGTGTGGATGGGGAGGCATGTGCAGGCAAGCCCCACCCCCAATATCTTCATACAAGTCCCTGACCTGCCCCAGGTACACAAGGAATGTTTGCAGGGGCTTCTAAATAAGTTCCTTCGGATGCAAGCAGAACCTTCCTTGCAGCCCAGGACCCTTATAAAGCAGGGTCCCTTATTGCCTGGAGCGGTCTACTCCTGTTCACATGCAGAATGTCAGTTCAAACATGTTACTTTTTAAATACTTACTTTGGTTGTTTTTGTATGGCTGCGACTGGGCCATATAGATCCTTCTGTTTCTGCTTCATGGGTTTAATTATCCGAAACACTACATGCCCAATGCTTAAAATGGTTATCTAATCTAATGGAAAGGGGTTCTGCAGGTGACAGGTGTGAGGACTTCTTACCGAGGGCACAAGAGCCCCTTTCAGGATGATGTCCCTAATGGTCTTTCCTTTCCGGGTAGGCCTGCTGGCTTCCGCTCGCAGCAGCTCTCCGATGCCAACGTGGTAGAAATCATACTTGCTGGCCAGCCGGTGACCCTGTATCTGCTTGCCGCAACCTGGACCACCTACCATAAAAATGATGATGGGACTCTGCAGCTTCTCTGCAGTGAAAGAAAGTGAGGTATAAGAAAGGGGACTTTCTACTTAGCAATAAAGTGGAAGAATTAAATCACTGCAATCTGGGGCTGAGGCAGCCCTTCCAATAAGCAGCATGGGGATGACCACCTTAGGTGGAACATTTTGAATGGTTTCAAGGCATTAAACACAGGTTCAACATTTTGGTGTTACACACCTTTTCGTTTTCTAAATATAACAACAACAACAACAACCTTTATTACGGTCCAGAGACCCAACAAATTGTTACAAAGCAATACACAATTCATACAGCCTACCTCCAGGTTAAACAAGCATTTTGTTCAGAATGTAGGGATCATTGGTTCTTGCAACCACCGATAAAAACTTTGCACTTTTTAATATACTATTGAAATATACCTATTTATGGGCAGTGTTACAGCTGAGTGCAGATGCTACATTACTGTGAAGATCTTGCTGGTAGATGGTGCCAATGTTATGACATAAATAAGAGAGTGGTCTTCAATCTCATGGAAGCAATGACATCCTCAGGTGCTGCTGGTCTGCAGGTTTTGGTACTGCCTTCTCTGCCTCATTAGACACCTGTTTGAACCCCCAGCAAGTCCCTCATTAGGTAGGTTGGTACGGGCTGGTTCAGGCATAGGCAACCTTTGGCCCTCCATGTTTTGGCCTACAACTCCCATGATCCTTAGCTAACTGGACCAGTGGTCAGGGATGATGGGAATTGTAGTCCAAAACATCTTGAGGGCCAAAGGTTGCCTCTGCCTGGGCTAGTTTCTGTTGGGCTGTCCAAAATGGTTGAGTGCCAGAGGCCGAAAATCCAAACAGATTGCTAATTAACATGGGGCACAAGCTACCAGTCTGTTCTCCTTAGCAGCCCCCATTGAAACTAGCAATGCAAGAGAACCACTTTGGTTTGTGAATGGGAACAGGTACACTCTACCACAAGTGGAGCAAAAACTGCATCAGGAAGCAAAATGAGAGCTCCAAGGTAATGAAATGGGAGACAGGTCTGGTCCACAGGCAGGGCCGGGTTTAGGTTTGATGAGGCCCTAAGCTACTGAAGGTAATGGGGCCCTTTATATGTCCAGCTGTCCTTTATCAACAACAAATTGTGTTGAATATATGCTATATGGTCATTTATAGACCTAAAGCCATTTGCACATGCAGAATGTAGGCACCCTGCATATAGAAATGAGAAAACCAGTCATATTTTAGGGAGCAGGCTAGCAGGCGGGGCCCATTACTTACATCATAGGAGCCTACACAACACAAAACACTGCTGCTGTATGTAGGTTTTATTTTCATAGAATCATAGAATCATAGAGTTGGCCATATTTTATTTCTTTTTTATCTTATATTTTGGAAATGTACATCCAGGGTTTTTTTCCTTTACATTTTTTGGAGGGGCCCTAAGAGAGTGGGGCCCTAAGCTATAGCTTGTTTAGCTTATACGTAAATCCGGCACTGTACAGGGCACTTTTCACTGCAGAATTCTCTTGTGTAAACCCTGTAGGATGAACCAGAACTGTTGTGTTCATTCGTCTGCAACTTGTGCAGAACTTTCTGATGGCTTGTGCCCTGGGCAGGGCTCGAGGTGGATCAGACCTGGGAGTAAAACCTAAGGGAAATTTATTGACTGGAATGCTTCTTGATAACATTGTTTTGAAAGCCTGTGGAATGCACAAAACAGAAAGAAATGCAATCAGTTACCTTGTAGTTCACGTTTCAAGGGCTTGATGGATTTTGGAAGGCTGCCCTGGCAAATCCCCATCCCTGTGGGCACCCAGGGATCTGCAGGTACTGGTCCAGCAACCTTCAAATTCCTGTAAAAAAATAATTTGGCCATTTCAGCTTAACTGGTATGTGACTCCCCTGAGCTGTCTTTCTGATGTCACAGACATGTGATGTCACAGATTTTATGGCAAGCAAAACTGGGACAACTAGACTGAACTACTTTGGTAGGGGGACAGAGAACAGATGGTCAGAAGGGTTGGAGACAAACTGAGAAACTGGCATTTCATTCATATCTGGACTTAGTGTTCAGTTTGATACCGAAGAAAATAAACCATCTGATATAACTGAAGCTGGCTAGCAGAAAAGGAAATACCTGTCTCCTTTCCTTGATTGTAACTCCCACGGGGGGGGGGGGGAGTAGGCTACTGAAGGCTGCATCCTGCCAATTGCTATTATTGCATTGCAGAACAAGGCGAGTGCCATTGGGTGAGTATGAAAGTAGTCTCAGCTTTGGCCTCCCTCAGCTGTTTCTTGTCTACACCTTTTGGACCCTCTTACATCAGGCTGCTTAAAAGTTATTCAGTCCTCAGTACTCTCTTCCTACATAAGTTCTTCTAAAACCAGTTTGCTAGGCTCTGCAAAGCGCTGTGCCAGACCGGACTTCTCTAGCCCTGACAATCACAGCTTGTGGAGCCTGGTGCACAGTGTCCCACAAGACTAGGGAATCAAGTGACTGTTGCTGTTTAGTTGTTTAGTCGTGTCTGACTCTTCATGACCCCATGGACCAGAGCATGCCAGGCACTTCTGTCTTCCACTGCCTCCCGCAGTTTGGTCAAACTCATGCTGGTAGCTTCGAGAACACTGTCCAACCATCTTGTCCTCTGTCGTCCCCTTCTCCTTGTGCCCTCCATCTTTCCCAACATCAGGGTCTTTTCCAGGGAGTCTTCTCTTCTCATTAGGTGGCCAAAGTCTTGGAGCCTCAGCTTCAGGATCTGTCCTTCCAGTGAGCACTCAGGGCTGATTTCCTTCAGAATGGAGAGGTTTGATCTTCTTGCAGTCCATGGGACTCTCAAGAGTCTCCTCCAGCACCACAATTCAAAAGCATCAATTCTTCGGCGATCAGCCTTCTTTATGGTCCAGCTTTCACTTCCATACATCACTACTGGGAAAACCATAGCTTTTACTACACGGACCTTTGTTGGCAAGGTGATGTCTCTACTTTTTAAGATGCTGTCTAGGTTTGTCATTGCTTTTCTCCCAAGAAGCAGGCGTCTTTTAATTTTGTGGCTGCTGTCACCATCTACAGTGACTAGACACAGTTTTTTTGCACAGGGCTTTCAGGCCAGCCATGATGATGTAGAACGCACAGGACTTTGCTGGTTGGCACCGTACTTCGCAGGCTCCTACGATTAGCTATAGGGCAGGTGTGTGTGGCTTTCCAAAGGTGACGCATTGACGAAATATTTTTTTTTGGGGGGGGGAGAGACTTGGTGAGCCTAATCAGGCCCAGGGGCAGGAGATCCCCAACAACTACTCTAGAATAGTGCTGGTCACCAAAGAGCACACAAGGCCTTTGCTGGTTATGCAATCATCCGCCAGCTATAAAGTTCTGGCTTTGGGTAGATGTGCAGTGGGAACAACCCACCTTTGCACAGAGATGCACACAAACATGTTCATGGCAGGAGTTCTCTGCATGGTTTCCCTGTGGGACATGAATATAGGATAATACTGTATGTATTTGCTTCTGCAATCACATCAGAGAGGGACACACAAAAGAAATAAGAAGAACAAGCTGCTTCACACCATAGACCTAATTGCTGGTAAACCTGAAACCACATCAAAATGCAGTTGCCCACCATCAAGAAGACATTCACGTTTTAACATTTAGGTAATGTTAAGTGTGTTGTTAAGGGACGCGGGTGGCGCTGTGGTCTAAATCACTGAGCCTCTTGGGCTTGCCGATCCAAGAGCTGCTCTGGTTTCGGTGTTCAGTTGCGCCTGAAACGGCTTAGTCAACCTGGCCACATGACGTGGAAAAACTGTCTGCGGACAAACACAGGCTCCCTTGGCCTGTAAAGCGAGATGAGCGCTGCAACCCCAGAGTCGTTTGTGACTGGACTTAACTGTCAGGGGTCCTTTACCTTTTTTTTCTTTAAGTGTGTTGTTTGGCTCTCCAGCCAAAGAGGTACACAGATATACAGACAACCAGTGCCTTTTTTCCCCTTAAAAAATGTTTAGGGGTACTCTCTTCTTCCTACTCATATTGAACTACTGCCCCTCAGTGAGGCCAAACTTAAAATTCACAAAATGTTTCAGGGTGTGCGTCCCACTGTGTCCCCAGAAAAAAAGCACGGCAGACAACTGTGGTGGAGTGAATAAAATAATGTCTGACTCAGAGACCAGGGTTCAGGTCTCTGAACAGACTTTGTGCCAGCCACTCATTTATTTCTCTGTGTGTGTGTGTGTGCACGCGCCTAGCCTACTGAAATAAAAAAATCAAGGTCTTATATATATAATAAATGTTCGTGAATGTACCAAGCAAACACGTACATAAATATATAAACCACATGTCTGAAGCAGCACAGGAAAACAGCCCTGAAACCATTTTGACTCCCAAACTAAGCAAATGATTTCTCTGGAAGGTCAAGGAAAGTGGAAAAGCCTCCCCATTGTCTTTTCATTCACAAATCCTGTCTTAAGGGTATGTCTGTGTATGAATAGGGTGAGCCTGTGACCTGGCTCAGGAACTAAGTATTAATCATTACAAAAGACTGGCCAGGCTCCCCAGGGTATCCAATCAAGTAAGCATTAACAAGTAACCTGCCAGACAGGAGCTAAACAACGACAGGAGATAAATAACGCACTGTAGGTATTATGTGTCTGGGGGGGTGGGTCTTGAGCTACAGCCCTTCTGTGATGTATGTATGATGTTTCTGGGGATGGTCTTGGACTCCAGGGCTGGCAATTTAAAATGTCTGTATAACGGCGGGCACACCTTGGTTCCGGGTCCTCCTTCTGCGTGTGAAGGGGGCAACCTGTTGCAACAGTTCAATAAAGATCAGGCTTACTAGCTGCTTTGCTTCTCAATATTCTCTGGTTGGCCTCTGTTATTTTCTCGATGGAGAACCTGCAAAGGACTCAATAATAATAGTAATAATAATAATAATAATAATAATAATTTTTATTTATACTCCGCCCTCCCCAGCCAAGGCCAGGCTCAGGGCTGCTAACAAGCAATAATAAAAACAAGTTGAATGAATGCAACTTAAAAACATGATTAAAATACAACATTAAAACAATAAGGGCAATTTTTCGTTTACTACACTACCCTACTGGGTTATTATGAGGCTTGAACAGGGTAATCCCAATATATGCTGCCCTGGCCTTGGAGAACAGGGATTTTTAAATCTGAAATTTAAAAACTAAACAGCAGTTGCGAACACCTGTCTATCAAGGAGGTGCAAAGCTCTTTCCTCTGACAGGCCAATAAAGGCAACGCGCTCATCTGCAACCTTGATAGTCTCAGCCCGCATTCGGCGCGTCACAGGATTGCCCTTTAAGGCGAGAGGAGGTGCTCATTTACGCCACGCCCCTTCCGATGGGCGCGGTTTCCACAGCAACCGCCTCGGACTCCCCACTTCCGCTAAAAGGGAACCGGCGCTTCTGCGCATGCTCAGTTCAACCGGCGGGTGTGGTCGCGGTCAAAGAGGTGCCTCACAAAGTTCCACGCAACCGCGACGTAAGGTTCCGGTTAGGATGCAACGCAAAAAGTAGGGGAAGTATTGCATATAGAAATCCGTCGTGTGTGTTTTTTAAAGGAACAGTCACGGGCTCCCTTTCTTTGGAGATGATCCTACAAAATGTGCACGTGGTCATCTAGTAGAAGCCCAAATCTAGCAGTCAAAATTAAAAATTAAAAATTGTCCAGTAGCACCTTAGACACTAATTCTTTTTTTTATTATTTATTTTGACTGCGTCAGACCAACACGGCTACCTATTGTTGTTCTTTAGTCGTTTAGTTGTGTCTGACTCTTCGTGACCCCCTGGACCAGAGCACGCCAGGCACTCCTGACTTCCACTGCCTCCCGCAGTTTGGTCAACTTCATGCTGGTCGCTTCGAGAACACTGTCCAACCACCTCGTCCTCTGTCGTCCCCTTCTCCTTGTGCCCTCCTTCTTTCCCAACATCAGGGTCTTTTCCAGGGAGTCTTCTCTTCTCATGAGGTAGCCAAAGTATTGGAGCCTCAGCTTCAGGATCTGTCCTTCCAGTGAGCACCCAGGGCTGATTTCCTTAAGAATGGAGAGGTTTGCTCTTGCAGTCTATGGGACTCTCAAGAGTCTCCTCCAGCACCAGAATTCAAAAGCATCAATTCTTCAGCGATCAGCCTTCTTTATGGTCCAGCTCTCACTTCCATACATCACTACTGGGAAAACCATGGCTTTTACTATACGGACCTTTGTTGGCAAGGTGATGTCTCTGCTTTTTAGATGCTGTCTAGGTTTGTCATCGCTTTTCTCCCAAGAAGCAGGCATCTTTTAATTTCGTGGCTGCTGTCACCATCTACAGTGACCATGGAGCCCAAGAAAGTAAAATCTCTCACTGCCTCCATTTCTTCCTCTTCTGTTTGCCAGGAGGTGACGGGCCCAGTGGCCATGATCTACCTGAACCCAAAACTAGCAGCTTACATACTGTGTTTATGGAAGACAACCTTACTCGGCTACGTGTGATCGCCGAAGACGAAGAAGACCAAGCAAAACTTGACGCACAAAAACAAAATAAAAACGAGCTTTATTATAATTTTAAATGCGATTTTTAATTATATTAATGATTTATAATTGTTGTTGTTGTCTTGTACTTCTAGTGTTGAAACGTCTTCCAAAACGCTGCGATAAAATGGGAAACTCCCGCGGGCGCCAAAAATAAAAATAGAAAACCCACCCGCTGCTGCTCCATTTTGAGCTTTCCCCTTAGTTCCTACGCCCCTCACATGGCGGGCGCCAATGAGTTTGGCTCACGGGTGCCGGAAGTGTTAAGGGACCATGGAGCCACGGAGACGCCTCCCTTAGTCCTCGCGCATGCGTGGGTGGCGACGGCGGGGAAAGCACAGGAGACCGGTGTGCTGCTGCCGGGCAGGTGAGGAGGCTGCGTGTCGGGCGAGGAAGGAGCGGGGAGGGAGGCGGGTGCGGGGGGCGCGCGTCAATACGGTACTCCAGCAAGTGCTGCCATGGGACGGAAGCGCCCCGGTCTGCCCCACCCCCATTCCCTGGAAGGGACCCAGGAGTCCGGGTGCCCCACCCCCACCCCCGGTTCAGTCCTTGCAGGGGTATTCTCAGGTTCGGACAGGTTCGCCCTCCAGCCCAAAACCCCCCCAAACCCCAACGACTTTTAAGGTTGCCACTTTTTTTTGTTTTGTTAACATTTTATTAATTTCCCCTAAATAACAGAAAAAGAAAAAAGAAAACAACAATACAAAATCATTACAAAACAAGGGGGAAAAGAACATCATAAACAATTTTTTAAACCATAATTTTTGCTTGACTTCAATCCCCCTTTTGGTTCCATTGTTTTATGCTTGTTCACGCCCGTCCATAGAACCTTATATTCCTAACAAGCCAATTTTAAAACCTTCTTCATCTTATTACAAGTGAGTTTTTAAAGTTATGCTAATGTAGAAGTCTATACACAAAGCTTAAAATATATGCATTAAATATTTGCCCTTTTTAAGAAAAAATAAAAATAAAAAACAACTCAAAGTCCTCTTTGTTTCTTGGGTTTCAAATTGTCTATTTTGTCCTGCATAGTTGAATAAATTAGTTTGCCAATCTTCATAGTTTTTGGCGGAGGCTTCTTCCTTTTGTAGGGACTGGCTTAGGGTTGCCACTTTTGACCGGCAAAGGACAGGACAGGATATGGGGCGGGGCGCAATTCCACCCCCGCCCCAGTGCTGAAATGACTTCAGAGAAACCCATTACCCACTGTCCAGCCATCTCGTCCTCTGTCAGTCCTCTGTCGTCCCCTTCTCCTTGTGCCCTCAATCTTTCCCAGCATCAGGGTCTTTTCCAGGGAGTCTTCTCTTCTCATGAGGTGGCCAAAGTACTGGAGCCTCAGCTTCAGGATCTGTCCTTCCAGTGAGCACTCAGGGCTGATTTCCTTAAGAATGGAGAGGTTTGATCTTCTTGCAGTCCATGGGCCTCTCAGAGTCTCCCCCAGCACAAAAAGGCATATTGGGTGCATTTTGCAAACGGAACGTCCACATACTGGAACACCCCAGAGACAGGCCACTACCTAGTGACTGCCGCCGCCACTTTCCCCTCCACGCACTGTGTTACACGACAGGTTTAAGCTGCAACCCCTTGTGGACCATGGCCTAGTATCCTCCATTTCCCTGGCCTATGGGAAAATAACTGTCAGCTTTAACGAGAGAGAGAGACATGCGCAGGCAGGTTTGCACGACCCTCCCACCAGCAGGGACGCAGGTGGCGCTGCGGGTAAAACCTCAGCGCCTAGGACTTGCCGATCGCATGGTCGGCGGTTCGAATCCCCGCGGCAGGGTGCGCTCCCGCTGCTCGGTCCCAGCGCCTGCCAACCTAGCAGTTCGAAAGCACCCCCGGGTGCAAGTAGATAAATAGGGACCGCTTACTAGCGGGAAGGTAAACGGTGTTTCCGTGTACTGCTCTGGCTTGCCAGAGCAGCTTCGTCACACTGGCCACATGACCCGGAAGTGTCTGCGGACAGCGCTGGCTCCCGGCCTCTAGAGTGAGATGAGCGCACAACCCTAGAGTCTGGCAAGACTGGCCCGTACGGGCAGGGGTACCTTTACCTTTACCCGCCAGCCAGCCTCGCCTTCCCTCTTCTCCTTCCTTTTCTCCAAGGCACTTCCAAAGTCACTCCCTTCTTTCTCAGCCTTGCCCCTACATTCCAGACTTTCTGCCTCTTTCTGTTGCTTTTTTATTTTTAAGCAGCTTCCTGACAGAAAGGAAAAGGCCCTCTGTGCATGATCAGAAATACTCTGCCCTGTTATGGTGGGTGGGGACAACCCTGCTTGGAGAGATAGGCACCCTGCACACATCTTAAGGGACACTGTGAGGTGCCAAGGATCCTTGAAAGCAGAAAGTGGCAGCCCTCTCTCTCTCCAGCCCTTCATCCGACTTCTCCCCCTATTCTTCCATTCCTCTGTGTGGGACTAACTCTTCCATTCTCTTTCTTCCTCAGACAGGTGCTTTTGGAGAGGCTCGGCTGGATACCTGCGCAGCACGTCCAGGAATGACTTCTTTGGTGAGCTGTCATTCTGGGATGGAGGCCAAGAGTTGTCTGAATTGCACCTGATCTTTGGGCTTGTCTCATCCTGGTTCCGTACTGGATCAGTTCTGGGAATCCCTACTTATTTTTGGCATCCCAAACTGAAAAGGCATGGTCGGCTATTTCCTGCGTGCCCCCGACCTCTTTTGCTTCCACAGCTTCAGGACACCAGCCAGAT